GGGGGGGGTGGGTGGCTAGAGATTGGAAAATATATCAAACTAGTATGAGTATGGCAAAAGGGAAAAAGGGGGGCTTAGATTGCAAAATATGAAACTATTATGGGAAAAGGGAAAAATTTAGGGGACGGGGCTGTAGCTCCCTTGCCCCTCCCCTCTGGAAACCCCGAAGCAATTCGGCACAATCTTAGAGTAGATCGAGTATCTAGCACTTTTATCTAAATTTTGGCTCCATGTGCCAACACCATTAAGAATACAGTCAATAAAATAACACTAGAAAGCCGTTGATTTTGGCAGTATTCCCACCGTTTCTTCCCATCAAGCACCGGGTTTTTTGGGCTGTTTTGGTTGATGTTGTATTTTTTTGTTGCTTTTAATTAAATGTGTAGGTATTTTTATTGGTGTGGGATTAAATACAACTCTGATTTAAGAAGATGTGGAAGACCTGGTCGGCCGAGTGGTCGATTCCTGACCCAGGCAATTGCGTTGTCCTTGAGATGCTTTACCTTAACGTGGCCTCACTTCACCCAGGTGTCATGATAAATGGGAACCAACGAATTGTTAGGGTAACTTGACGTGTTGGGGTATAACCTGCGATGGACTAGCATCCCATCCAGAGGAAGCAGCAATATACTTACTCGCTTCATGCTAAGGAAACCCGGGGTTAAGCGTCGGACTTTTTTTAAGAATTACTGAAACTTTCTCGTGGCACGCCATGGGATATCGTATTTGTCCCTATTTAATTAAAATACAGTTTCGAAGATGGGCTACTTGAAAAACCAATAAGCTGATAAAGTATTTGTTTGAGATAAATGTCAAGAAAAATAAACCAATAAAGCCTCTGCACTCAGTTACGTGTGGCAGCCATGACAGGAAGCACGACTATTTGGCTACCATCACGTGATGGTGCAAAGACTCTATATGGAAACAACATAAAAACTACAAATTGTATCAGGCAATACTAGTTTTTTAATGCGTGAATACGTCTCATTTTATTAATCATGTTGCATAGCCACATCATTACTTGTGATAACTAAACTCCACTTTATACGTTTTGACTTAGTTGTCGGCAGTACATTAACCTTGTTCCTGACTATTAGGACCTTTGAGTCTATATGTTTTTCATTGGGTGATAAAGCGGGCTTTTGGGATCCTGTGTCATTTCACCTCTCAGCTCAACGTCGTCAGGAATAACAAACTTGCTGGCGGTTTCTCTAGAATTAAAATTTTAAAAGGTTTATTAGATTTGGCATTAACATCACTGCTTGGAATATTCACAACATAGCCCTAACCTTCATACTGTAAAAGTTGATTTCTAAAACAAATTTATTGAATTTAAAAACAATTAGTATCTTGAAGAAACCTGAAATTCTACTGCAAATTTGGCATAGTTTCAGCAGCACACTTATTTACGAAAGTTGAGTCACATTTACTCCTTTCAATCACCTTGCAGCCCCTTTCTCGGGGGAATTTACCAATTAACAGCTAGGTTTATCTGATCAGAAGTATAACAGCCGTTCGAATGCATTTGATATGCATTAGTTTGGCTGTATATAAATAGTACTGAAACAAATAGAAAAGGAAAGGAAAGGAAAGAAAAGAAAAGAAGAGAAAAGAAAAGGAAGAAGGAAAAAGAATCGGATAAAGGCCTCATTTAGTATAACCCGAGGATCCGAACGTTACTTCCGTATGGGAATGAGTTCTTTTAAATAATTTTCGAAAGAAAAGTGGATGGCAAATGCAGGGCAAGTCAAAGACTGAGATACAAACCTCTTGATCTTGCTTTCACCACCGCAAACATTTGTTCTCTTATTTAGAAAAGTACATTTTGCTCCCATGGCATTGTCGCGGCTTATGATGACAAGAACGCAGAAAAATACCAATACTTTCATTTTGATCTGTTCACCCTTGATCACCTAAAACCATAACAAATAGACATGTTGCTCAGTTTTCAAAAACGGTTCCCGCGTCTACTTGCATTTCAGGCTATGGAAAGAAAACATGCATGCAGTCTACGGTAACCAAGACCCAACAATAGAAGTAACCTGGACTGAGTTTCATGATTGGTTCAAAAAGTATATGGGACTTTAAAAGAAAATAGATTGGTCTTCCCAAGTAATAAACCTAAACCTTACCTAATAAAAGATACGGTTCTGTACAAATAAGGGGGCAATCAAAAAGCAGCTTTTAATTGATACTGTATTACTTAAGAAATAAAGGTTTCGTTCAGCCCAAGAGACATAAAAGGTTTGACAACAGCTTTTGATAGAACCAAGATCTATAATACAAGATAGTTGTGAAATGAGGAATAGGTCAGTTCAAGTTATGGGTGATGCAAAGCAAAAATCAATTCCCACCAAGACATGACAAGACTACTAGAATACCTTACCAAATCAAGCTGGTTAACCTTAGGTTGACTACATGATGATACAAAATTAATGATAAATTATAAAAGTTGAAATAACAGCATCATTTCGAGATACCAACCTTAGTCTTTTTCTGAGGGTTGTTGTCTTTAGAAAGAGAACAAGACTAAAGTTGAGCATGCGTTCTTGTCTATTTATATGTTTTTTGCATTTCCCTTTGATAAAGATTCTTCGTGGCGGAAAAAGTATTCTCCCGAAATTCGGTTATCCTGTTCTATTCAATTGTTTCTCTTAGGAAGGAACAGCGCTAAACTAGATAGTAGATTGATAGTAGACTAGCTTATTCCACAACAAGTTCTAAAACAAAAAATAATGATGTTCTCAGGAATGACTACGGAACCGACATATTTTTTGCTAAAAACGAAATGGAAACGTTCTTCTGGACTGTTCCTCAATTAAAAGTTGCGAGACTGGCATAAAAGCCGGTTGGTCCATTTGCCTTTACCGGCACCTGAAGACAGGAGCGTATGATTGAGAGACTTCGAGTTAGACATTTCAATGTTCACAAAACAAGATAAAAGCTATTGAAACTGAGACGCTCGATTTCTCGACGATACCATACTGTTCACCGGCCGGCTTATGGTCTCTTGACTATGCTATCCACAGGTGGTTGAAAAACAACTGCGCAAATAAGCTATCCCTCTGTCAATGAAAATCGGAAGTGAAATTAAAGCGCAAAAAGATATAGGCACTTAAGAATTAAGTCACCTGGGCGGAAAGCTAAAATTGTACGGGAAATGCGGGCGGTATATTCGAAATTGTGGAAGAGTGACTGCGTGAACTAGAAAGTGATGGCTATGAAGAAAACTGGTGATTGAGTGGAGGAAATGTACCAGAACTTAAAGTTATATTATGAAATTTCGATTTATATGTGAAGTGGTTTTTCAATTGTTTAAAGCTGAGATATGCATACAAGGATATGTTGGTGGGGGAGGCGGGGTGGTTTAATGTGCGATAATGGACAAAAGCATGTTGCCTTTTCTTGCAGTCAAACAAGCTCGTGCGTTCCCATCGAGTTTGGAAGATATAACCTGCCTATTTTTTGAAGATTGATTTCACGTTTGTCTTTAAACTTACAAAAATGAAACGGAAATTGAAAATCTTAAATCAAGCCTCGATTTCAATCCTGTGATTTTTGAAAGATGATTTGGATGAAAGATGATGGGATATCTAGACACTCAAGTGAAAATACACACACAGCATCAGCTTCCCCGATTGGTCGCTCTCGGTAAAATGGGGCAACGCGCGCAACACAGTGGTATTCTCAAAATCACCCGGGGGATGTACTTTCTAAAATGTATTTACGGCTTAATGACCAACAGGTTTCTCAACCCAATTGATAAGGCAGTTGATAGAGATCGAATCAGAATTTAAAAGTTGATTTTGTGGTAGGGGGAAAAACGGAGAACCCGAAAGAAAAACCTTTGAAGCATAGAGGCAACTCTACTCGTGAACCCGGGTCACATTGGGGAGATTGAGGCGGCGTATTATTAGCAGCGCACGCTACCCTAGCCTCCTTCGCAGCCGTTCTTAGGGTCGTCTCGCAAAAGATGCGCTTTCAAGTTTCGTATTCAACGGATTCGTGTGGAAGGAAGGCCAATCCTTAAAGAAATGTTGCGTGACGACCCTAAGAACGGCTGAGAAGCTGGAGGCTAACGCTACCCGTACTCAGTTCTAATCCAGGAGCTAAAACAAAATGGCGGGGATCTGTTGACTTTCTTCAAACTGCCAAGAAGAACTCTAAGATATAGGTTTGAGAACTCCTCCATCGAGAAACACACCGTGACAGCAGACTTGTGTGCGATACAATATTCGAAAGAAAATCCATTATTTGCATAATAATATGATTAACGACGATCTTAAAGCGCAAGGGTTTTCCGGCCGGTTCTCCGGTTTTCCTCCCTCCTCAAAAATCAACTTCTAAATTCTAATTCGATCTTTGGGCTTTCACTTAGTTTGGAGCCTAGCTCTGTTGTGATTGTCCTACGCTGTGATACAACAGCGAAAAGCTTTGTAGATTTTTTTTATTTTTTATTTTTTTAACCCACGATTGTAGAGTTTAATCTTGGTTTAGGCCTATTCCTAGATTAGCTCAATTGAGCTTTGGCCCAACACTGAACCCGGCCCTGACGTTTAACCCTCCGCTCAAAGAGGATGAAGATTCCAAGTTCCATCGCTATTGGGCATGGCCATATAAAGGATTCACCAAAAAAGAACTTAAGTAGTTCCCTTTGATAATCCCCAGACCCCTAAAGCGCACTTACAAGGACAGAGAGCGCAATTCAACTGATGGGAAAAGTCTGTGATGTAGCAGCATCCAAGCACGAGGAGGACAGTGGGCCGACTCCGAAGATGAGGTGATAAATTTGTGCTACTGAGTCAGAAGATCATGAAATATGGCTATGATTAACTACCTACACTCATATGACAAGTCTGGATCTAATTTTGATAAAGAGAACAGAATGTCAAACACAAATGATGACGGATAACCATGAAGATAACAGCGGCACTCAAACTGGCATTCCTAGGAGACCACCCGACGGTGCTTCCATTATCATGACATTTTTTATTGTGCATTTGTATTTGCTCTTATTAAGATTTGCACAAGAGAATATTCTCTTGGATTTGCATTAACAATTATTAATATGTATATTTATATATGTATATTTATAATATGTATATTTATAATATGTGCATTTTCTTGGAGGGGGAGTGCCATGGAGTGGTGACTCACGTCACTTGATGACCGGGCTACCTGTGCCTCAGAGAAAGTGTGTTTCGGCATATGCTATCCAGTCGGTATATACTTCATGACAGTATGCCATATAGTCGCCTGGCCATACATATATCATTATATAGCATTGACAAACAGTCCCTAGTACTGGTTTCCCTTGCACTGCTCAACTGTCCCTAGCCCTGTTCACCTGTCCCTAACACTCCCTGTCCCTAGCACTGATCGTCTGTCCCCATCTGACCCTAGCCCTGTTCACTTGTCCCTCAGTAGCACTGAACAACTGTCCCTAGCACTGATCACCTGACCCTAGCCCTGTTCACTTGTTCCTAGCACTGATCACCTGACCCTAGCCCTGTTCACTTGTCCCTAGCACTGATCACCTGACCTTAGCCCTGTTCACTTGTCCCTAGCACTGATCACCTGACCTTAGCCCTGTTCACTTGTTCCTAGCCCTGATCACCTGACCCTAGCACTGATCACATGACCCTAGCCCTGTTCACTTGTCCCTAGCACTGATCATCTGACCCTAGCCCTGTTCTCTTGTCTCTAATACTGATCATCTGTTCCTATCCCTGTTAGCTTGTCCCTAGCACTGATCATCTGACCCTAGCCCTGTTCACTTGTCCCTAGACCTGATCATCTGACCCTAGCCCTGTTAGATTGTCCCTAGCACTTGTTTACTTCTTAATTTGTATCATTATTAGAAAAACAGTTGATCAGTACTAGGGACAGGTGATCAGTGATAGGAAACCTATATTCATAACCGCCATGCATGTTTGTGCCCCTCAATAGATGGGGTATGAAGTTGGCGGTTACATACATTTCAACTAAATTAGTAAGGGAACTCCCACGATCTTGAGTACAATTTGGAATTTATAACAGAGTACAATTTGGGATTTGATTGTACTCCTCTTGTCCAAGCAGTTATTTTGTCGAGTGTATTTTAACGAGTATAATCAATCTCTTGTATCTGAACCAAGTGAACCAAGAATAAGTGGGCTACTTGCACGGGTTACCTGTGGTTAAATTACCAGGCTTCGCTCAACTTATGATACAGTAGTTCAAAATGGCGGAGCTGAAACAGGAGTTACCTCGAAAAGGCGGTTATGCTCCGGTAGAATTTTCCAGAGGAGTACCGAAAAGGGGCCCCCCAGGATGGTTAATGATATTAGGAGGAGGTTTCATAATGTCAGTGGGATTTGCTATGGTTGTTCGGGGAAACAGGCGAAGATGGTGAGTAAATTTGTACAGTACTGGAGTTGATCAGTTCACAGGCCTGACTAAACCATTAAATCATCGGAATCGACGGAATAATAAATGGAATCCCATATAAAACATTACAAATTTATATTGTTTTCTCCCTGAAGTGTGTTAAGATAACTGATAAAGAAGAAAAGAAAGAGATCTGAGCTAGCTTTGACTGAAATTTCGTGTGATCACAGGCAGCCCAAACAAGGTTTACTATGTATGGTTTATCTATGCACTAGTCAATACTCCCTTTGCTAGATCGCGTAAGACCGCTGGAAAAAGATATTGGGGCGCGCTTCGATAACTTGGAATCGAGGCTATCCCTGTATACGAACTCATCTCTCTGTGACAGATATAAGAGGTTTTTAGTATTAGTTGCTGTTAAGAAAGCTTTTTGATCGTTTCAACGACT